GAAAGGTGTCCTGACACCCCGGCTCTGGCGCAGGAATGGGTCCCTCCAGCTCTGTGCTTTGGCCCAGAAGGGATTGTGCGGCCATGAACTGGGTGGGATGAAACAGCCCAAACGGCCTCTAGCGCCGTGCGATGACAGGAATCCCTGGGGACCACGGAGAGCCTGTAACAACCAGAGGGAGAAATCCCCTCAGGATCCCACTCCTCCTTCTCCTCCTCTCTAGTCCCCTGCTGCAAATGTCAATTGTCCTCTGGGCAGAAATCCCCTCAGGCTCCCACCCCCTCTGCCATCCTGAGCAGCTGCAACGCCTTCTGCTACAGCAGGAAACAGCTGTCTGGGGTGGGGGGACAGCAGACGCTATCGTCTCTATTTTCAGGGGCCAGGAGCAGGGTCTGGCCTGACACAGGCACTGCCCCATGAGCACAGGAGCCCAGCACGGGGCCAAGGACGCTGGGAGCACAGCCCTTGCACCGACCCCAACCCCAACCCCATCTCTGCACCATAGACATGAGCTGACAGTCGCTCCCCCATGGCAGGTGTGCAGCTCCCTGCTCCCCCCACACCCGTGACACACGCCTGCCATGGTCGGTGTTTCCATCCAGCCCTGCCTCCCTCCCTCACACCTGTGGGATGCTGGGCAAGGCCCTTGCACTGCCCTTCCCTCCCCATGGACCTCCTCACACAGACCCTGGGCTGGAGACCTGTGGTCTGACCTGGGGAAGGGCAGAGAAATGCCGGAGACAACTGGGTGCAAGGGCAGGTGGCAATGCCATGCAGGATAACCACTATGCCATGGCCTCCCTCATTCCTCCCCATTGCCTCCCTTCCCCTCAAGGTGCTGGGCAAGGGGAGCTCCCAGCACAGCCCAGGGAGACACATGGCCCCTTCCCCTTCACAGGCAGGCAGGGTTTACAGGAGATCCACGAGCCCACTGATCCAGGCCAACAGCTAACTAATCTTTTTCACAGAGCTGTATCTTCCTTCTGAAGGATTTCCGGATGTCCCAGCCAATTTATAGCTTCTGAACGGTACTGATAGCGTACAGCCACTCAGATTCTTTCCTCCCACTGTCCTGAGACTGACCAATAGCAGTACAAGCCTTGCATTCCTTTGATAAGGTTAATTTTAACCACGCCACAGGGCCTTACTACTTCAAGGCTTTGCTAAATTTATTAGGCCTTACTTTATACAAGGCCTTACTACATCTTAGACTTCAATTAGGCTCTTAGCAACAACATATAGCTTAATATCTAAACAAATACAGAAAAACACTTGGTCTAATCTTCATAGAGACTTCAGTTAGCACTTTTATCACACAGACATGATTTCAGCTGGCACGTTCCCCTTCGCAGGCAGGCAGGGACCAGAGGAGACACACACGGGACTGAATGCCAAGGGGAAGTTTATTATCACTGCCCTGTGCTGGGATCATGCAGAGGATGGGAGGGGAGACACGGAAACCCAGCAGAGCGAGAGAAGGCAAAGGAGAGCGGGGCTGGCATGGATGGGCACAGCAGTGTGGGGAGGGGGCACAGCAGGTGGGTTTGCAGGACAGGTCTCCTTGAAGAGCTGCTGGACGCAAAGTGCTCACGTCCCAGGAGCTGGTGTACCTCCTGCAAGAGCAAGTGTCACTGTGATCCATTGTGGAGATGCTTCGAATGGGCATGATGATCCCAGGCAGGGGCAGCTCTGTTTGGAAATCCCTGGCCTCTGCAAAGGCCTCCATGTGGGCCCCTGAAACCACCCATCCCAGGGCAACCTGGATCCAAGTGCAACCCAGGCTCCTGCTCCCACTCCAGCACCTCCTCCTGCGTCCTTCCTCCCCACGGGCAGGGAGGGCTGGTTTCTCAAGACAAGGGCCGAGGAGCCATGACAGCAGCTGCTTAGAGACTGCTCCAAGCCTGAGGAGCCCCTGGCAGCACCATCCTGCCCCATCCAGCCAGGGATGGGGTGGCAAGGGGGCCCTGCCCATGCAAGAAGGGCAGCGGGGAAGGTGACACGCATTCACACTCAGGGAGCTGCCTGCACTCAAGAGTGTTCATGACCATTGCAATTACACTGGGATGTCTGGGAGATGAGAGAGCCAGCCGGGGTGACATGGGGCAGGGGAGGGGTGAGCAGAGGTGACACAAATGCCTGTATTATTTGTAAACAGGGCTTGGCAGCCACAGTAAGGCTCCCTGCAACCTACAGCAATACCCACAGGACCCAACCTCTCGTGGGAGACGAACAAACACCATATGCTCGGGCTGCAGATTTTGCACGTGCAAGGGGCGTGACGTGCCCACCCCCAGGGCCCCAGCGCGGCTGCAGTAAGGAGAAGCTGTCCCACCTGCTTAGAGCTGGTACTTGCAGATGAAGGAGTTTTTGTTTCTACAGTTATCAGCGTTCCATTCCTGATACCCTAGGCGACAACACAGAAATTACCGAGGGGAGGGGGACAGGCTGGGCATAACACGCTCCCCGCTCTGACCCCTGCTCTGGGACATGATCCCAGCTCCTGTCCTTGACCCTGAGGAAGGGCAGAGTGGAGAGAGTGGACAGGAAGAGAGAAACCAATGATGGCAGTCGGGTCCTTTGGTGCCATCCAGTGTCGTTGCAAGGAAGCTGCGCTGAGTCCTGTTCCCCTGGACACGGCACCATCCCACAGCAGCGCGCAGCTCCCTTGCTCCGTGCCCAGCTCTGCTCTTCCACCCGGATGCTGCCAACCCCCAGCCCTCTCTCCAGACAGTGCGAGACCCGGGGTGTCCTGCCCTGAGCCCGTTTCCTGGCTTCTTCACACTGGCACACACACGTGCAGTGCAGTCAGTGCCTGGCTGCTGCACACACACGCACACACACACACACCGTCCAACCACTGCTCCAGCCCCGGCTTCTGCAATCAGGTCCTAGGGACTGGTTTGTTTTCTCTTTCTCTCCTCTTCGTCAGACCTCCCTGCAGCCACGGCTCTGACGGTGGCTTCTCCCTCTCTTGTTCTGCACAGGAGCTTCCTGGTCTCTTCCACACAGCCAGGATCAAGGGTGTTTGCACTGGTACTGACACATGCACTCATCTTCCTGCACAGGCCAGGAGCCTTGCACACTTGCACACATGAAGACAGCATAGATACAACTAAGCTAGATAGACAGCAAGCACAAGCTTTGGTGAATGTGAGTTCACTTCTGGGAGGGGGCTGTTAGAGGAGCAGGGTAGGAAGTGGGCTGAATCTTCTCAACATAGAAGGTGGGTAAAAAAGGGTCCTGCGTCTTCCTACGTAGCCGTCAGCAGCACCTAGTAGCACAGCGACCCAGCAGCTGCTTTCGGTCATTAGTGCCCCTTCCCAGAGCAGTCACTCACACCAGGAAAGATGGCCTCTGTGTGCATCTGTATATCGTCTACACACGTGTGTGAGTTCATGCAGATCCTGTCAATTATTGCAGCTCGTGGAAAAGCCTGTGAGAAAGTAGAGCCTGTCCCTTCCCCAGGTAGGCATCTCAGAGCTGTGAGGGCACAGCATGGAGCAGGGTAGGAAGTGGAGGGCTGATCTGAACACAGAGGTGGGAAAAGAGGAGGGAGAGGGACAGTGCTGGGAGAAGCAAACAAGCCACCGACCCACAGACACAGACCGGGTCACGGAAGCTAACCCAGGAGATGGGGTAAGGACCTGTAACCTGCCTTTAAACCCCACCTAACACAGTTCAGTCTCTGAACGACCGCCTGGCAACTTCCCATTCAAGCTGATGTTTAAAAGTTGGCTGCTGCAAACTGCCACCCTGAGGCCAGCGATGGAGTGGCCAGCGGGCGAGAGTGACCTGCCACAGCCCTGCGTGTCTCTCTGTGGCCCATGTCAGAGCAGCATCCCATTCTTCTTGCATGCAGAGATCAACCTGTCAGTCCCATGGAGACACCGGCCGGTCACGGTCAGCGGGGATGGCACGTCTGGTGCTGCAGACTGACCCTCCCGGTGTGAATCCGTGTTTTCATGGCTCTTCCTGCTCCGCACCCGGGGGCACGGATCTCTAGCACAGAGCGGGTGCCAGCCAGAGGGGCCTGTGTCCTCTTATGTAGCCTCCTGCACCGCCTAGTAGCACAGAAGCACAACCACTACCCATGGCCAGGAGTGCCCTTTCACAGACCATCAGTCACCCACCCCAGGACAGAGGCCCTCTGTGTCCACCTGTATATCGTGTGCATGTGTGTGTATTCACACACATCCTGTCAATTATTGCAGCCTGGGCTAAATGCTGTGAGAAGGCTAGCCCTGTTCCTCGCACCGGTCAGCGTATAAGAGACAGGGTGTCCAGCACGCTGCCCTGACAGGCGAGTCAGGGCCTCCTGCTTACCTCGATAAGCTAAGAGCTCTGTGCAGTGCTCGACCCCATACCAATTGTCAGGCTGCCCCAGTACCCAAGCTTTATAGTTGTATATGGAGCCATCTGTCCATGTCCACTTTCTGGTCTGCAAACAGGAGGAGGGAAAGGTTAGGGAGGGAGCATCCCCTGGAAATATGTGCAGTGGGCACCCCCAAAAATCAGTATACCAAAAATGGCTCATGCTGTGTGGGGACAGATGGAGAAGGGCTGAAGGCAGGGGATGGACAAAAGGCTGGGTAAGGACCATCCAGAGCTGGGGAGCACAACAGTAGGTGGGCAGGGGCAGCAGGCACTCACCTGCCAAGGGTCATGGAGCCCGATCCAGACTTGCCCACTAGCACCTTTTCTCAAGATGTACCCAGCAATTACATTTCTTTCAGCCTTGTTGAGAATGGAGGCGAGATGGGCCCCGTGGCGGTAGCTCTGACACTTCACCTGGGGCAGGAGCAAACCAGCTGTGTCTGCAGCTCCCAGGGCAGGGAGGGGGGAGAGCAGCGCCAGCCTGGGCACCGGGAGGGGAAGGGCAGGGAGCGCCTGCTGCTGCCTCTCCCGGGCCTGGCTCCAGGGGGAATGGAGGGAGGGGGCAGACCCAGGTGCGCCCGCACCAGCGCTGAGCTCCCCCAGCCGCTCCCCTCCAGCCCCTGGGCCCTTCCCTGCACTAGCCTGTCCTGTCCCACCTGCGGGCAGCCCCTTGGCTTCACGTCGCCTCTGACCAGAAACAGAAACCTCATCCCTCAGCACAATGTGACCGTGGCTCTGACCTGCCTTTGCTCCCTGGCTCTGGACTGGTTCTGTGTGAACAACCGGCTGGTGCCAGGTTCCCCATTTCATGCACTTGAGGCTTAGGGCCAAAACGCCCCGTGTATCCCCTATCTGACCTCGAGGTTGCTATCTGTCTCCAGTCAGTCTTTAATAAGGCTTCCCACTTAAGGCCTTGGAGCTGCTCTGGGAGGGAACCACTGGTCCAGACTAGCCAGCAGTTATACCCCTGTTTGGAGGTCCACCCCCTTCCCCAAGTGGGATCCTCAGTGCCTGGCGAGACCTCCCGGGGATTGCTTGGGGCTGTTCCTTGTCCACATGCACACAGACAGACAGAGAGGGAGAGTTTCTGCCCCTCTGGAGAACTGGCAAGATTCATGTCTCTGCTGTGGAGCTGGTGCCCGGGGCTCTCCCCGGGGTGGGCTATGGGATGAGTGGCCGACAGCATGAGACCGAGGAGGGCTGTGCCCAGGGTGCTGCCACGTGCCCAGGGGAAGGCCCCACTATGGTGCAAAAAGGATGTGTGGGGCCTTGTGCATTTTGCAAAGAAAGTGGTGGGTGCCCAGCACTGCAAGAGGCCCCAGGCTGGACCTGAGGGGTGGAGGTGCCTCCAGGCTGTGCTGAGGAGGGCCCTGGCAGAGGTGGGTGAAGGCACACCCCTGCGCTCCATGCTGCCAGGCACTGCACTCATTGCAGCCCAGTTTAGGACCCATTTCCCACGGGGAGCCCACGTCTGCCCCTGGGCCGTGCTGGGGCCCATGGCAGCCAGCTCCTTTCCACCTGCAGGCCGGCTGTACCTCGCATAGCGACCGCCCTTGCAGGGAGCCCCAGAGCCCCCACCCCTTGGACAGTCCTATCCCAACCCAGCACCCCGCGCCCAGACCCCCCAGCGCTCACCTCAGCCTCCGCCCAGGACTTTTTATCCTTGAAGAATCCATAGCATTTGTCTCCATAGTGTAACCAGCCGTTGGCACAGGACTTGGTCTTAGCCCCTGTGCAAAGACAGCGATGGGCGGGCAGTGAGGGGGGAAGACACCCTGGTGTACTCTCCCCCAGCCCCAGAGCAGTTGCTTCCCCAAGGGCAGGGGCACCAGGCTGGGACCCAGGGAGGAGGGGGCAAGAGCAGCCCTTGGGCACAGGGCACATGAGGAGATACCTGGGGGAGGTGACTGGGAGGAAGAGCAGGGATTTGTGGACCCCGGCGGGAGCCCAGAGCTCAGCGTCGCCTTTCTCAGGGCAGGAGGACGCAGAGGCAGGGGAAGGGCGGTATCCCAGCTCCAGCGTCTCTCCCTGGAAACAAGATGGGGGCCCTGTCTCCTGGGCGGACACGCTGGCTCCTGCTGCAGCCCAGCTCCGACCCCCTCCCCGCAAGCGCTCACCTCAGCCTCCGCCCAGGACTTTTTATCCTTGAACAATCCATAGCATTTGTGTCCATAGTGTAGCCAGCCTTTGACACAGGCTTTGGTCTCAGCCCCTGTGGAAAGACAGCGATGGGCGAGCAGTGAGGGGGGAAGACACCCTGGTGTACTCTCCCCCAGCCCCAGAGCAGTTGCTTTCCCGAGGGCAGGGGCACCGGGCTGGGACCCAGGGAGGAGGGGGCAAGAGCAGCCCCTGGGCACAGGGCACATGAGGAGATGCCTGGGGGAGGTGACTGGGAGGAAGAGCAGGGATTTGGGGACCCCGGTGAGACCCCAGAGCCCAGCATCACATTTCTCAGGGTACAAGGACACAGAGGCAGGGGAAGGATAGTATCCCACCTCCAGCATCTCTCCCTGGAGCCGAGGCGGGGGACCTGTCTCCTTGGGGACACGCTGGCTCCTGCTGCAGCCCAGCTCCACGATCTCTGGGGAAGGGCCCTTCTTGCCGAGGGGCCGGGGGAGCCTGAGCGGGACCAACGCGCTCCCTGCCGAGGGGAGCAGCGCCCGGCCCGGGGGCTCCAGCATGGCGCGGACTCACCTTCCAGCCCGGGGCTCAGCACCAGACAGCCCAGGAGGCACAGGATGAGGCGGGCAGTGGTCCTCATCTCCTCACTTGTCCTGGGGGTAAACAGGGGAGATGGGCCCTGGGAGGCCGCGCTGTGCCCCACACTGACTTCTCCCTGCCTCCCTAGGAGGGTTGCAGGCCTGGCCCCAAACCCAGGACCCAGTGAGATCCCTCACAGGGCAGGGGTCTCTGACCCGTGGCTGGGGCCAAAGTCCTTTCAGCAGCAGCCCCACGGACTCTCCCCTCCACTCTCCTCCCCTCCGCTCCCCAGCACCTCAGGGCAAGACAGGGCAGGGACCCTGGGAGCAGGTCCCCAGGGAGCGGGTGCTCAGCACTGACCCACGGGGCCGGGTGCAAGGACAGCGCTGTGGGGCAGGGGGACAGAGCGACTTCTCCCCAGGGTGCCTCACGCACAGCACATTTAACCCCACAAACCCCGGCCAGGGCTGCTCCTAAGGCCTGGCCCTGGCACAGAGGGGACAAGGGCCAGGGCTCAGGACTCACCTGTGCACCTCTCTGGGGTCTGGTCCGGAGCAGGGGGTTTGGTGCAGCCGGTGCCCACAGCTGGTGCCCAGCGGGTTTATAGGCAGGCAGGAGGGAGGGGATCAGGGAAAGGTGTGAACATGCAAAGCAGGCAGGGCCAGCCCACAGCTCCGCATCTCCTCAGCTGATCTTAATCTGCCCCTGCCCCCCGCCCCTCCCTGCCTCCTGCCTGCCCCACTCTCTGCCCCTCCTCTCTCTTCCACACCAATGCTGCAGGTGCTGGCCAGGAGCTACTGCTGATCCCATTTGCACCCAGGGGAGGGAACCATGTCTCCTGGGGACAGCCCGTGTGCTTGCACACACTGCACAAGTGTCCACAACCTCCTTGCAGAGGGAACCCTATTTTACTGTTAAAAATGAGCTATTTAGCTTCCTCCCGTCTCCTATCTAGGTCCCTGTAACTAGCACAAATAAGCTCCAGCTTCCATGACCACCTTCTTTTAGTCCATTCCAGGAGCCAGAAGTGCTGCCGATGCACCAGCGTCCCATGTGAAGTCTCCCTTCATTCACAGAGTAGCCAAAGAGGGGAAGCTATGCGTAACCCACCCCTGTTTGGGTGCCTGGACTAGGAGCCCCTGCAGCTGTTCCCACCCACCCTGGGGCCAGCGGGCGCAGCAGGAGGGCCGCGCTCTGCCACACAGCGAAAGGGCAGGGGACGTTCCTGAGCAGGGAAGCTTGTTCCAGGGAAAACCACATCTTGTTGGTTTCTGGCTAGTTCCCATCGTCAACAGGACAAACACTATGAGTGGGGGACCGACACTGGCTTTCCTGGTGTGGAAGCCGAACCCAAGCACCTGGTCATGGTTCTGGTGGAGAAGGGCACGGCCCAGAGACAGCACTGTATGTAGTGTTTATTGGGACCTGTACAAGGGAAAACAAATGCTTCAGAGGAATAACAGCCTGTCACAAATCTCCTCTCCCTGGGGTGAGAAATCCTTCCTGCTCAAGGCCCATGCATGACAGGCTGCATCACGACCAGGATGGACGTGGCTCGGAGCAAGCCAACAGCACCGTTCTGCAACAGAAAAGCACAGGAGAAAGGAAATGAGCTCCAGCTGCATCTGCCGGCAGCTCCTGAAATCCACATTTCATCCATTGCCTCCTTTGTGCAATGCATCCCTCTCCTGGACATTTCCTGGGGCCCTTTGCAGACCCACCTGAGATGGGGCCTCAGGGAATTGTATTGGCTTTATCAGATAGCATAGGAACAAGTGTTGCCAACCCCACTGGACCAGTGCAGAGACCACAGTGTACAGATGTTGCAGTGCACGGGGACGGGCCAGGACAGTCTCTGTGCAGGTGTAGCTGTCATGAGCAGCTCAGGGTGCTTGTCCTCCAAGAGCTAAAACCGGGTTTCTTGCCCCTGTACCAGATGCCTGCAAGCATCCTGCCCCTGCACTGCTTCGGTGGAAAGAGCAAAGGAGAAGGAGGAAAGACCAAAGTGCAGAGAAGTTGTGTCTGGATGTCGCCATGCAGCAGAGCCCAGCAGGATCCAGCACCTCGTTGTCTTGGGAGTGCCCTGGTCTCTGAAGGGGTCTGCCTGCCTCGGCTGCCAGCCCGTGGACATTGCTGTCACAGGGAAGCTGCCGTGGGGCTGTGCTTTCCCAGGGGAGGCTGTTGGGGGCTTGGCCCTGTAGAGACACCCTGCGCAGCTCAGGGCTCATCTGCCGCTAGAAACCACGATCTGAGGCTGCTCTGCCTCTTCTCTTGGTCCCCCTGAGCAGAAGAAAGCCAGGGTCCTGTG